GCCCTAACCCAAACCTCCCTGCCCATAGTCTCAACCTAGGTCTCACGAGAGACTCTTTTCGAAGAAAGCAGTACAACATGACACCCCTCTGACCTAGATCAGACTGAGAAAGTGTGTAGATGGGTCGGGAAACGTGAACAGGTCCAATCGCAGTTTTAACATCATAACAAACGGGTTACCCCATATTTCCTCTGTTCCTGCGCCAACAAAAACAACGCAGAGTGTCAATCACTGTTTTTAAGGATTGGGGGGGGGGGGGGCCCACACACGCTGCAATCTTCGCAAATCCAACAGATTACACGCCGATTAAATGCACATCACAGCTGTCGCAAGTGCCAACGCAAACAGTCCAACACTAGAAAGGCAGCTCACCGTTGATGAAAGCAACACTTACAATAGATCAGTAGTGCCGCGCGCACTTATTCACAAAAGGTAGGGTCTCTGGGAACAAGTCAGTCACCCTTTTCTGATTGTCAAGTTCACAGCAAAAACCATTTTGGGCACGGTCAAAGGGCAAAGATCAAAGTTAAAGACGAGAGGATTGACTGCATTACACCAGGGTTTATTCCAAACGGATCAGTCCCTCTCCTCAGAGCGGCTAGCCGCCTGTCAGGAGCGTCGCACAGAGCATGAAACTCGTAGATCTGGTGACGACCTCTAGGGATTTCCGTAAAAATTGCACTCGTGAGCCGAACATCACAGCCGCGAAGCGACCCACGACCTTCAGAACGCGAGGCAAACGGCTTAACCACTTCGTCAAGGAGAGCCCCAAACGTGCACGGTCAAAAAGCATTAAAAAACTATCATTAGCAGCTCACCGTGTAGAGCCACATAGCTGGGCGACAGAACCATATCCTTTAAGTCTACATATGGAGGAAACTATATCAGCTAATTATCAGAAGCAAAAGCTTGCCACGACTAAAACAGTAAGCCGGAAACCAACCTGTGTCATGATCTCAGTGACCTCACGCTAAGGGTGTCAGCTTGTTCACTCCCCAGCTAATGAAATAACGTTCATTGTCGGATTGATGTACCACCTGATCGCTGTAAATATTCTCTGAGAATGTGGTGCAGATTTAAGCTCATCCAGGTCTATGAATTGTCAAATGTCATAAAAGTGACAGATTTAACACTTGTCAGAGGGCTGCAGAAGGCCGCTGACACCTAGATTGAAACTTTAATTTGTCATTTTATGCTGCTCAGTGGAAGTTTTGGCAGTCGAATAAAATCTATACTGTCGCATACGACGGGTCTCTGACAATGGATACATTTGTGACCACAGTGCTTCTCAAACTACGGGGAGGGGTTCTTTAAATAAAATCCTCGAAAGTGGGATCTAAGTTACAATAGTCATGCCATTGTCTTGTAGTCTGTCAATATTGTTGTTTAGGATGTCAAAGGTTTTAAACACCTGACATTACACTGCAGAAAATACAAGGACGTCATAATGCCAGTTTAAGTATGGCCGCCTCACTTTTGACATGCACCAAACAGGAGCATATTCTTGTTTAATTTCACTTAAAAAAAAGTCTTTGCAAAATTCCATAAATTATACGATATAGTCTTCAAAAAGGCTATAAGTTACAATTTAACATGTTTTCTTGCTTTTCCAACTACAAAATCAATGATTTTGTCATCAAAAGATATGATCCATAACACATCGCTTTCTAAACACATGATAATGAATGCAGACAACTTTTCTGCAGACATAGTTGCTTCTGAACCTCATTTTTTATTTTTCTTAGCTGTGAAACTGATTTTTTTTCTGAGCAGGTTGTTACCATTGGGTAAAACAGCAAAGGACCATTTTCCACACTTTCAGGTGTATTGGGTGTATTAGGCATATAGTTGAAAAAATACAGGACCCTTTTCTACGCGTTTAGGCGTATATGGCATATAGGGCTAGACCTATAGTTTTTAGACCAATCGACACAAGATGGATGATAAGCATCATGCCGGCCGCCTTTACTTTCCGGGACTGCACCCGGTACCCACTCAAGGCTGGGTCAACCTGGGAGCAAAGGTCATTTTTGAGAGCAAGTCCGGCTCCGCCAGGGAGCGAACCCACGATCTTCCGATCTAGCCGCTCGGCTAGACCAATATTTGTTTAGACCAAACAGCACTTTATGGGTGAAATGGTCAACATCACGTCGGCCGTCTTTACTTCATAGAACTGCACCTGATACCCATTCAAGGCCGTGTCGACCTGGAAGCCAAGGTCATTCTGAAGGAAAGACCTGTTTCGTCAGGTCTCGAACCGGCTTCCGATCTGCAGGCGAGCATCCAGCCGCTACACCACATTGACTCCTGTGCCACTAAACGACCTTGCCATGAACGATGATCTAATTCAGATCTGCGTGTTGAATATTTTCTTCTTAGTTTAATTCTGCTTTACATAATCATGGAAATGCCTCAGATCACTTGGTTTGAGGTTTGAACAACGGATCAACATCATGGCACATGGGTAGTAACCCATTAGTGCTCCGTTCTTCTTCTAACTCAAGTCTGAGTCTGAAGAAGCTCAGCACAGTTCATAGGCTCTGTAGCACCGGCGAGGATCCTGAAATACTTTGGGTAGATTTATTAACTCCAAATTTTGCCCGGGCTACTCTTTTCGATTTCCAACTGCCAAGAGATTATTTACGGGTGCAACAATGCACACGGGCGTCTGATCTCACTACCCATAGACCAGGGGGGAAGTACTAAAAGTCCAAGTCCAAGTATAAAAATTCCAGCCCTTACCGGGGATTGAACCCGTAACCTCAAGCATTCGAGACGAAAAGCCAGCAACAAGCAATCAAACACGTCGGTAGAATTGTATATTGTTTACCATCAGACGACGTTTTGATGCATAAAATCACTCTCCGCGCAATCTACCTTCAAAACAAGGGACATAACACCAGTTAACAAGTGCTCATGGTTTGATTACGATGAAAGCAGCTCTTTGATCCGTTAAATTTATCATGGTGGGAACATGAGTTTCACTTGTGTGTGACTGTTTTGTTGTTTTGCAGAAATGAGCTGTAAACGTGTGACAAGTGTGTGTTTTGTGTCTATTAGTAAGCTAGAGATAACTACAAACGAGTTAGAATAGGCCATGAAACCCTCATCAGTTAGTTAAGGTTAGTTGAGTATCCTTTACAGGACGTTGCAGAACCAACCCAAGGCTGTTATGTGGTTTTTCTAGGCAAATTTACGTCCAGTGGTTACCATTTCTTTCTGGACGGTTGGATTTCTTGATACCACTGTCGAAACCAACGATAGGCATATGGCCCGCATCTGGAATTGAACCCGGCATCCCGGCATTACGAAGCGTTCGCATCGACTTAGCCACAGAGCCCACTTATCAGTAAGTAAGTAAGTAAATTTACCCCAACGGACATCAAACACAAAGTGCTCTCATTTGGATGAAGATCACCCGCGGAGAAGTCCCAGAAACCCCGATCAGCCGTTAAGGCAACTTTTATGGCCTAGCTATATTTAGGGCCCCCGACAAAAGCCAGGGTGGGGCTTGAAAAAAAATAAAAATTGCGTCCCACATGGGGACGATGTATACGTGTGCAAGTTGAGGGCATCACTGATGATGCGGCATAAACAAAACATGTTTGAAGCTAAATACATTTGATATGTCGTAGAAAGAATCGTTAGGTTACATTTGGGCCCCGGCGACAGCCGAAGATAAATAGTACGCACGCACACAACTGGCTGTTTAAACCAAACCTGTCTTCAGTAGACCAAAAGTGGTCTAATTTTTCTTGTCTAAAATCGGAACCGGAATTAGAAACCTGTTGAGGCAATCGCCCCTGCGGGTTCAAATCATCAGTGAGCTAGCTAGCTAGTTAGTTAGTTAGTTAGTTAGTTAGTTAGTTAGTTAGTTAGTTAGTTAGTTAGTTAGTTAGTTAGTTAGTTAAGTCAAAAATTGACATCACAGCACTCGGGGAATTCCCATGCGTGCTCCGTCCTCATCTTCAGCAACCAGCGCAGAGTTCCAATACTGATGACACTGGTCACAATCTGGTTATAGGTCCGTCTCGCCTTTCCTCTGAGTGTAGCAAGTCTACCAAATCCTCTGGTAACACCCAGGTGCCTCATTCTCTCAAGGCCATAATAATCTTGTTTCTCTACCTATTCCGTTACATGTTACCAAAGGGCCTTGACAACATCTGCCCTGTCATGCATCAGTTCACCACTCAGTGGTGCAGATTCAGTCAATCTGTCTGCCTGTTCATTACCCACAATGCCATTAATTTTGCTATGAAACTACTATGAAACTATAGGTAGTTCGTAAAGTCTCACTATACTTTTCATGAAGAACAAATTTGAAAGATTAAAGTACATGAAGTCATATAAAAAATGTGTGCTACAAATAAAGTTAAAATTACTTTTAAAAGTCACTGCTATGGACTAAAACTGTTTTGGAAAAGCTTGAAAGTACCAATGAAGCACTTATTATCACAGGTGTTGAAAATGTGCACTACGGGCTTCAAGACATGATCGCCCACGTCTTTTGCTATTGTCAGATACCTTCTGCAATGTGTCTGTTGTTATTTTTTGAACGGTAATTCTGATTGCTTCTCTCAGATCCTCACTTGTGTGTACATTTTTGTAGTAAACATTTATTTTCGAGAAAACCCTGAAGACAATAATCTAATGGACTTAGATCTGGAAAACGAGCAGATCAAACTCTACGTAATATGCGATTTACGCACATTCCTTCCAGAAATTCAGTGTGCTTTTGGCGTGTGTGTGGTTGCGCCATTTCAAGACATTCCTTCAACCAAAGTAAGTTATTTCTTCTGTCGATAACATCATTCTGTTTTGAGTGCAAAAAATTACTCCAGCAGACAATAGCGATTCACTGCATATTGCTCCACGTTTGACCGTGGATGACGTCGTGTACTTTGCATCATAAATTTTGTTTTAATTGCAAAGTGTATTGAAACTTTAAAAACACCCTGTATATCTTGTATCTGTAACGTTGCCTCTATTTAAACTTACAGATTTCTCTAGCATTCGGACTGGCCATCATGGCGTTGATTCAAATGTTCGGACATGTCAGCGGAGGTCACATTAACCCAGCCGTGTCGATAGCCATGGCCGTGGCTATGAACATCTCTGTGGCCAGAGCTGTACTCTACGTGCTGGCGCAGATTCTAGGTGCCATCGTGGGGGGCTTCCTGCTCAAAGGGTAAGTTAAGTCAAGCAGATCTCTGATGTAGATTCTGGGTGCCATCGTGGGGGGCTTCCTGCTCAAAGGGTAAGTTAAGTCAAGCAGATCTCTGATGTAGATTCTAGGTGCCATCGTGGGGGGCTTCCTGCTCAAAGGGTAAGTTAAGTCAAGCAGATCTCTGATGTAGATTCCGGGTCATGCGGGTGTTAGGAAATGAACAAGCAGACAGATTGTCTGGTTCTGCACCAACTAATGGCAAATTTATGCATGACAAGCTAGATGTGGTCAAGGCCCCTGGGGGAGCAAGTGAACCAAACGAAGGCATGAGTCGACCATTATGGTCTGTGGAGAGTAATACTGCTAGGAATTATCATGGAATCTGGTCGACGTCTGCACTCTGAGGAAAGGCAAGACGGATTTATAATCAAACAGCTACTGGCACTATAGGCACTGGAACTCTGCGCTGGCTGCTGAAGATAAAGGCGGGACGCTTATAGGAATGCCCCGGGTACTGTGGAGTCAGTTCTTAGCTCAACACTTAACACTCAACGCTCAACACTCAACAGGCAGTATTGTGGGTTCCGGGGTATCATTTAAACACACACACACTCCCTTTTAATAAGCATGCCATAGAAAGCGACTACAAGAAGGTTTTGCTGAAATAAGAAGCTTTAGGCCGAAAATTGCAGATGTAAATATCTGTAAGGTGATTCAATAGGAATGTAGAGAATACTGTAGAAACTGACAGACATCGAACGCATATCCTGGGGGTGGGGGTGGACGGCGAGACTGCCAATTATATTTTTAAAGGCGAACAAAAAGAAGAAGCAAAAAACAAAGAGAAGAAAAAAAAGAAGAAGAAGAAGAAGAAGTAGTAGTAGTAGTAGTAGTAGTAGAAGTAGTAGTAGTAGTAGTAGTAGTAGTAGTAGTAGTAGTAGTAGTAGTAGTAGTAGTAGTAGTAGTAGTAGTAGTAGTAGTAGTAGTAGTAGTAGTAGTAGTAGTAGTAGTAGTAGTAGTAGTAGTAGTAGTAAAAGGAGAAGAAGAAGAAGAAGAAGAAGAAGAAGAAGAAGAAGAAGAAAGAAGAAGAAGAAGAAGAAGAAGAAGAAGACTACGAAAAAGAACAACAACAATAACAACAATAACAAAAACAAAAAAAAGGAAAAATACAATTAAGAACAAGAAGAATTCACTATTACTTGTTAACCTGGAAGAAATTGTCATAAATTTCCCCGGAAACTAGAATCATTTTGTACACAGAATTATCTGTAGTATGAATCACACAGAATAAAGAGCAAACCTGTTCACGGAGAACTATCTGTAGTATAATTCACTAAGAACACAAAGTAGCCGTGTATAAAAGAAATATAACTATCATGATTTGTTAAGAATATCTCCATGTATAGTTTTTGGGGCATATCGTAAAAGGCGACTGATTAGGTATGAGTTTGCTGAAACACGATGGGCTGGGCCGCAAATATCACAGCTTAGCTGTAAACCACAATACATCGTGTGAGTAGCCCTTATAAGGGCAGAAGCAAAAGAAAATGTTAAAAATAATAAGTAGCATTTAGTTTAGCGTTGGAAACACGATTTGTTATCCCGAGATTCCATCTGCGGCCGAACTGACAGCAGACCGCTTCGCATTGATTTCAGCAGTTGTATAGAAAGCCGACCGTTTACTAAGCAAAGTGGCAAACTACTGAACGGACAGTGGCACGCTTCGCTTCAGAGGTCACATGTGGGGAGCCTTGTGGGAGCATTGTCTGGATCTTTTCTCGGGGTCATGCCAGTGTGTTGGGAAATGAACAGGTAGACATACTGGCTGGCTCCTGCACAACTTGATGAAATATTGATGCATGATAAGGCAGAGGTGGTTAAAGCCTTGTGGGGGAACGTGTACAATTCGAGGGGAGCCAATGGATCACCACAGTCTGGTGAGAGTGATGCAGCGGCGAGAGACGAAGGGATCTGGCCGATACTCGGCGCTCAGAGGAAAGCCAAGACGGACGTATAATCAGAATGGCTACTGGCACGACTGGTATTGGAACTCTGCGCTGACTGCTGAAGATGGAGACGGAACGCATATGGGAATGCCCGGAGTGCTGTGATGTCGATTTTTGAATCAACTCAACTCAGCTCAGCAGGTCCTTTACAGAACGTCGCTCTCGTCACGGCACTTCCGGCGGTGTCTCTTTCTCTAGCCAGTTCTTCAGTCCTATGTGAATGTAAAGCCAATACGCCTTCAGTGTCTTATATCCACTTTCGCTTCGTTTTCCGGAAACTCTACCCTCCATCACTACTTACTCAGGCCACCAAGACGTTTAGCGAGGCCATAATACCTCAGCTTGGAAAAGAGTGGGGGAGAGGGGGGGGGGGGGGGGGGGTTGTTGCTTATGAGCCAATTCTCCTCTCTGCTTAGAGCATGTGAAATGTCGGTACGTCTTTCTTCTTCCTATTCCGTGGTATTCTATGATCCTTTCCACCGAGGAGAAAGAGGGGGGGGGGGGGTGGGGGGGGGGGCAGGGTAAGGAGGTCTTTTGTTTCAGTGACTCACATCCTTAATTCAGGGAAAATAAACCAGTCTATTCTTACAGGTTGACACCGTCTAATTTTCACGGCAACCTGGCTGTCACCGGTCTGGGACCGGGGGTGACTCCAGCACAGGGGTTTGGCGTGGAGCTGCTTCTGACCTTCACCTTGGTGACGGTCATTTTTGGAACTACTGACCCTAACAGGGCCAGCTTCGGTAGCCCGGCTCTCCTGATTGGCCTGACAGTCACGCTTGGTCACTTGGCTGGCGTAAGTAGTTTTTCTCTTATAACTTTAGGCATACAATCCCCGTGTGGGTTCCAAGGCCCCGTTTGGGTTGGTGGGTGGCGCTACGGGTAGACTCACTGTCCTGCTGACAAGCATGTCGTAAAGGTAAACTAATTAGGGGTATTTCCTTCAAAGTCAGAGTGCCTCCCTCACCCCGTGAGACCCCACATCCTCACCCCTTGAGTAAATGAAAAGACCCCCAACCTCCCACCCCTTCACCCCTTGAGTATATGGAAAGTCCACCTCACCCCCCCCCCTTTTTCACCTCTTGAGTATATGAAGAGACCCTCCCCCCTTCACCCCTTGAGTTAATGGAAAGTCCACCTACCCCCCCCCCTTTTTTTTTTTACCTCTTGAGTATATGAAGAGACCCTCCCCCCTTCACCCCTTGAGTATATGGAAATACCCCCCTCAACTCTTGAGTTTATGGAAAGACCCCTAACCCCCAGCCCCTCACCCATTGAGTATATAGAAAGGACCCCCCACCCCCCCCCCCCCCCCCGCCCCTGTTTTTTTTCTCTCCACCCAACATAATGAAATGTGATTTTAAACAAAATCCCAAGCACTGCTAACCAGAACTTGGAATGGAACATCCATGTAAAACAAAGTGCCAAATAACAAAAGAAACAATCACTAAAGAAATTGGTCATTTAGTGTCTACACATCGATATGATGGCTGACACTGTTTTTGTCTTGATGATATCCACTAATTTTGATCTGACATTGGACACGCCACAACATATATCGCTCTTCGTATCAAGCTGTCAAAGCTGTTTTCATGTTTTCATGACTGTTAAAAAACTGAAAATCAGGATTATTAGATCATAACAAATATAAATGCAAACATAAATAGTACCCCTGTTTGGGGGGGGGGGGGGGGCGGGCGGCTTCCTCATGCCCCATATTTGCTCAGGTTGAGGATCTAGGGGGAGGAGCAATCAGTCATACCCCCTTTTTTTTGCATTGTATGGAGGGGCGCTCAGCGTCGGTCCTCTAACATTTGAGGAGGGGGCGCCTTAGGGGGTCTGAGCTATGACACCCAGGTTCTCCTGCCACCCTGGCACCCCTAACACCCCGGTACCCCTGACACTCTGGTACCCCTGACCCCCCCCAGTACCCCTGACACCCTGGTACCCCTGACCCCCCAGTACCCCTGACACCCCGGTACACCTGACCCTTGACACCCTGGTACCCCTGACCCTCCCGCCCCGGTACTCCTCACACCTAAGTACCCCTGACACTCTGGTACACCTGACACCCTGATACCCCTGACACCCCGGTACACCTGACAACCCGGTACACCTGACACCCCGGTACACCTGACACCCTGGTACACCTGACATCCTGGTACACCTGACACCCTGGTACCCCTGACACCCTGGTACCCCTGACTCCCCCCCCCCCGGCACCCCTGACCCCCCGGTACCCCTGACACCCCGGTACCCCTGACACCCTGGTACCCCTGACACCGCGGTACCCCTGACACCCCGGTACCCCTGACACCCCGGTACCCCTGACACCCTGGTACCCCTGACACCCTGGTATCCCTGACCCCCCCCCCTGGCACCCCTGACCCCCCGGTACCCCTGACACCCCAGTACCCCTGACACCCCGGTACTCCTGACACCCTGGTACCCCTGACCCCCCGGTACTCCTGACACCCTGGTACCCCTGACCCCCCGGTACCCCTGACACCCCGGTACTCCTGACACCCTGGTACCCCTGACCCCCCGGTACCCTTGACACCCTGGTACCCCTGAGACCCTTGTATCACTGAAACCCTGGTACCCCTGAAACCCTGCTACCCTTGACACCCTGGTACCCTTACTTCCCGGTACTCCTCACACCCAGGTACTCCTCACACCTTGGTACTCCTCACACCCAGGTACTCCTCACACCCTGGTACCACTGTACGCAGATAATGTTAATGATACGATGGTCAAGACAAACATACTAAAGACATCTTGGTTTGTCCACACAGATCAGTTACACTGGATCCAGCATGAATCCCTCCAGATCACTTGGGTCTGCCGTGGCTTCAAACTCTTGGGACAATCACTGGGTAGGTTTTTCTCTCTTGCAGCCGTGTATGCAATCAGTCAGGTGCTGTCTTCACAATGAAGATGGGCGGCAATGAATCTCCAACACTCTGTCTTTAGCCCTGGATGTATACTCTCTCAGACTTCTGTTTGTTCAATTCCTAATTGTATTTTCCCGCTGGTATTGCTGCCGTCCTCTTGTTGCTTGCCTTCAGTCCTTTCCTCCTGTATGTTTTTCATACCAGTGTTTTTTTTTTCCTTTAATGTGGTTAAAATATATCATCTGTGTTTGTAATTTTTTTTTCCCCAAAAAAGAAATAAAAATTATTTTTCTTCTCTGTTCATTCATTATCTAGTCTATTTTGTGTTTTCATTTCATTGGTAACTTGGGGTGTTTTAAGTTTATACATTGAGCCAGTCACTGCCATGTTATGCAATTTGTCACTGCCATGTTATGCCATTCTTTGTCACAGTGGTAACTTGGGGTGTTTTCAGTTGTATACATTAGGTCAGTCACTGCCATTCTTTGTCATATTGGTAACTTGGGGTGTTTTAAGTTGTATACATTAGGTCAGTAACTGCCATTCTTTGTCACATTGGTAACTTGGGGTGTTTTCAGTTGTATACATTAGGTCAGTCACTGCCATTCTTTGTCACATTGGTAACTTGGGGTGTTTTCAGTTGTATACATTAGATCAGTCACTGCCATTCTTTGTCACATTGGTAACTTGGAGTGTTTTAAGTTTATACATTGAGCCAGTCATTGCCCTGCTGTGCCATTATATGTCACATGAAGTTCGTAGTCTATACCTCCAAGCTGTTCCATCCTTTGCAGTGCCTTCAATATCATGGACCTACCCTGTGGGTAACGGGGCCCTGTTATAGAGAAAACAGACCCACCGCCTACCCAAAAGCAAGTCGTAAAAATCGACTAATTGGGATCTTCTTTTGAAGTCGGAGAGCATCTGCCTGAGAGGCAAGGAACCAGCAGTCTGCATACAAATGAGTCAGCTCTGTAAAACGGATGCACATGCAACACTGAGGTTCTAAAAGTATACAGTTTACACATCCATATTTTGTTTAGGCTTTAAAAGCTGCCCATGTCTTGTAGGTGAGTCTTAATTTCTTTCGTTGTGTCTCAATGATCATCAACATTGCTACCTAAATAGGTAAATTGAAATGTTGCTATCACTGTTTTAATGTTGTTTTCTTTTACTTTTTGTTATGTCTTTAGTGTTACATCTGTTTGATCTGTCATAAGCGTGTTCAATATACATAATTTTTCTTCTCATAACTTATTTGTAGTCGAACTTATGATTCAATATTTGCTAAATTATATGTGTTTTTCTGTGTAACTCATTGATGTTTTTGCTTCGCATCTTAGTGCTGGGTCATGCGGGTGTTCTAGGCTACAAGCGTGCATATCATCTTGCAGACACTGCGGTTGCTATGGCTGGTGCTGCACCGGGCAGAAGCGACGTTATCAATGCGTAGCTCGTATCGTGAAGATGAATACAGTAAAAGGCATGACTTCGTATCCTTATCTTGCCTAATGGACACTGGAATGAGACCTGGATCTGCAAGAAATAAACATGTCACTAAGGCAACAAGACATCTAATTAATCAACACAGGACAGGGGTCATCAGTCGTTTTACGCTTGTAGAGTTTTTGAGGAGGAGATATGGACCTGTCCTGTGAAGATCATCTTCATCATATAGCAGGTCCTTTGCAGAACGTCGCTCTCATCATCTGAAAGAAACTCGGTCTCTCGCCAGTTCTCCCGCCTCATGAACTTTCACACTCAAGGAGTCAATTATATCATGTGCCCATCTTCATGTCGGTCGGCCCCTGCCCCTCCTTCCTGGTACCATGCCTTCTGCTGTAATTGTTTCGTGGCGCTTTAAATTGATCAAAATATTTCAGCTTTCGAGAAAGGATGCTGTTTATTAGCCAATCTTCCTTGATGTTCAGATCTTTTAAGATGTCAATATTTCTCATCTTCTTTGTTCAAGATATTCTGAGAATCTTTCTAAAGCATTTCAGCTCAAAAGTCCCTATTCCCCTGTAAAGATAATCGTCATTAATCACTGATCACTATACAGAACAATATCATACGTAAAATTGAAAATCTTCCAACTATATGATCTTCATCCAGGTACCCAGAAACAAGGAGTTGTCAACCCTTTGGCTCGCTACTGTGGATACCCCAACCCTTCGGTCTCGATTCCGTGATAGATACCGTAAATCTGGGAGAAATGTAGCTTTCTTGCCTACCCCCGGGGATAAACCCAGACCACAAGGAGTTCGTCACCCGGTCGCCGCACAGAGGGTTTTAACCAACTGCGCTAGCGAGCCGGGCATCATCCAGTCAATTAGTTGTATACTGCTCGCAAATTTTATCGCTTCCATTGTCTGATCAGGACAGGACTTCGACGACCACGGCTCTTTTTAAATAGTGTTGACATTGTATACGTTCACTTTCAGTATGTTTTTCTTTAATTGGAGCAGGCAAACCTCATTCAATTCTTGTTAACATATGCAAACCTGAATTATTTCTTTGTTACTGTGCAGAATTTCCTTTCCAATGTCTGTCTGCCTGCCTGCCTCTCTGTCGGTCAGTCGGTCGGTCGGTCTGTTCGTATGTGCGTGTGTGCGTCCGTCCGTCCGTTTGTTTCCATTTTAATGTCTGTCTTCCTGTCTCGCTGCCGTATAGTAACGTTTTTTCTGCTCGTATCTATTCCCATGTGTCTTCTCTATCTCTAATTTCTTAGATTTTGCCAGTCTATTCATGGGTCTCCCCGCCTGTCTTGTCTTTCTCTCAGTGTCTGTGCCTCTTAGTCCACATAATTGTCGGGTGATAAATGTTAGTCTAACAATGCGACTGCTGTTTCATTTGTCTGTCTCAATTTTCTTTCTCTCAGTCTATCTGTTTGTCAGTTTTTTCCTGTCTTTATGCCTGTCTGTACATATAGACCTAATTTGTATAACATTTAGATTTAGAACACATTTTTTTGCAATAAAACCTACAAGACGGCAACTGTCTTTCCTTTACAGATCTACTGGGTGGGTCCAGTTGCTGGAGGAGTCCTGTCGGCCATTGTCTACAAGCTAATCATTAACCCATACAGAGGGGTCCTCAACGTCGAGGAAGCCATCAACAAACTAAGTAAGGTTCCAAACACACCCGTCTCTTGTCTGACACATGGTCCCAAAACACACCCGTCTCCTGTCTGTCACATGGTCCAAAACACACCCGTCTCCTCTCTGTCACATGGTCCCAAACACACCAGTCTCCTGTCTGTCACACGGTCCTTAACTCACCCATCTCCTGTCTGATACATGGTCCCCAAACACACCCGTCTCCTATCTGTCACATGGTTCTAAACACTATCGTCTCCTCTCTGTCACATGGTCCCAAACTTACCCGTCTCCTCTCTGACACATGTTGTCTTTAGATATGTGTCCTTACTGGGGGCAGTTTTCAGAATAACATCTCACAATTCAACATTCAAGAGGAACATCGTTTTTTCAAACATGCACATGTATAGAACTGTAAGTAAAAATAATCACGTTACAATATATATTGAAGAATAATAATAATATATTTGAAAAAAAATAATAATAATAATTACAGTAAAACATACACAGTGTTAATTATAATAAAATAAATTGTTGAAACATTAAAAGAAGGTAATTAAAATAATTATAAATTTAATAAGTAGTTAAACTAAATATTAGTATTTTAAAATTACATAATTTAAAAGTAAGTAAGAGAATAGATTATAATAGTAGAAACAAAAATACGGAAATATAAATCGAACGAACTTGTGGTTTCACTATTGAAAAGGGTTGTTATGTTAACTGGTTATGTCTGGATTCCTAGCCTGGTTTCTTCCGCCCCATAGTGTTAATATTGAAGATGTCCTGACTCCAGCTTTGACTTGACTACTTTCAGCCTCAAGTTCTGGATTTAAAAAAAAGTACTGAAGTAATCACAAGATCACATCTTCAGAACCTAGCTCTCGCCACGGCACGCCTGCAAGTCTCTTTCTCTAGGCAATTTTCCAGCCCCATGTGCTTTCATGGGCAACGCATCTTCAATGACTTGCATTCGTAGCTTTATGTCTTCTTCTGCCAGACTCCAATTACTGCCTGTTTTTACCGCTGTTACAGTCTAGTTGGGGTGGGGCTGGGGGGGGGGGGGGGAGAGGCTACCTTAGGGCACATGGCTGTTGCTGTCGCCATACACTGTGCAGGTTGGGATTTATTTTTTGCCTCCGACAGAAAATAATCTCCAACCTTACTGAGGTATCGAGAACTCGGGTGTCCACTACGAGATTCATTGCGTTTTTAACTGCTCCTCACATCTTGTCTTTAACAGAATGTGTTTCTACAGTTCAAGCCGCTAGCTGTTGCGATTTTCCGACAACACTATATGTATGTACGCCATCACCTTAATCAACTGTTTATTTGATAGGGCGCCGAGTCCGTGGTTTAGGCGTTGCGAGTCTGATTCGTAATTCTAACGTACCGCGATTGAAACCCACTACTGGCTGCGTGGATTTTAATCAGGGTATGCGGCGTTGCAGGTCGACCTAGCCTAAAATGGATGCCAGGATGTATGTCCTGGGGAAGTTAAGACGGGCGGCGTAATGCTGACCGCATTACCCACCTAATACCGATTGGTCTGTAACAATATGGCAGCTCTTCCCATACGCCCGATAAGCCTAGGGCGTGAAAAGAGATCGTTACTTTATCTTTATCTTTATTTGATAGAGCAAGAAAAAAAATGGACCCTTTCCACGCCTGCGGGCGTACAGGGCATGTAGGGCTAGAACTAAATTGTATAGAACAGTCGGCACTCGATGGGTGATGAGGTGGTCAGCATCACGCCGGCCGCCGTTATTTCCGAGGGCTGTACCTGGTACCCATTTAAGACTGGGTCGACCTGGGAGTCAAGGTTGTTGTTAAAAAGAGTCCAACTTAGTCAGGACCTGACCCCACGACCTTCCCATCCGCAGGCGGGGGTCTAGCTGCTACACCACTACAGCTCGCAAAACGAAATTAAACGAATGGTCAAATTCACAGAGAGGGAATATTTGTTTACCGGGTCAAGTTGTGAGAAGTAGCCGCCGTAGCGTTGCAGCTAGGAACTCGCCTGCCAGTTTACGCGTATCCAAAACCTCCCGTCTCGTGTATTTATAGTAACTTCTGACACAGGAGCCAAATCTCAATTGACAATTGACCGTGGGAAGTAAATTCAGCCAGTGTGACAGGTCAATGTCAGCGTCAATGCAGACAGACAGACAGACAGACAGACAGACAGACAGACAGACAGACAGACAGATACTGTTGTGTTTAAAGTAATGAGTAGCAGTGTAGGAGACATCAACGCCAAATCAACATGTAGACACACATTTAAAAAAACCCTGATGCATTCAGCAACAAACGTATCATTCAGCAAGCAAGATCTTATATAAATTATTTCTACACTCAAGATCATGTTTGTAAATGGGACATTTATGCTTAAAAAGATAGGTTAATATACTTGCTGATTCATATCGTAACTTCGATTAATGTTTCCGGTGTCTCGTACATCTGTCAACGCCATGGAGTAGGTCCTTTGTAGAATGTCCCTCCCATCACGACTTGCCAGAAAGGCACTACTCTGTCTCGTGGCAGTTTTTATGCTTCGTGAATTTATTAGGTCCGGTGTTTCTCCAACATCATGAATATTCGTACAGCTTCGCTCATACCTGCCGTTCAATTACCATTTTTTTAAAGCTTGTGTTAGGTTCCAGTTTGATTGTTTATTTATTTCCAAACAACTGCAGCGTCCTTACTCTTCTTAGCATCCACATGGTAGTAAACTCCGTCGGAAAGTTCAGGGTGTTCGTCCACTCCTGGACTTCAATCTTTGCCCTAGAACTTGAGCTTTGCGTGCACATCATTTTTTTGCAGATCTGGTATATTTGAATGCAGACGTTGACTGCTTAACTCCCAGGCACATATGCTTTGACTTCGAAGAAAATACCCTTAATTAATTGTTTTTTTTTTTTTTTTTAAACGAAATGCTTGCACCAAGACCCCAGAATGCAAAGAGGGGCTGCATCGTTAAATAAGGTCGAAAGGGGTAGATCGAGCCTCGTAGAAGGTGTATAGGTTCGTTTCCAGACATTTCCGGGATTGATTCACAAATTAACACCACTTTTGACGCATAGAAAGATACCTCCGTCAACTAAAGCAAATCTCATAAGAACAGTTTTCTTTAGCCGACATTGTGCTACCAGTGCTAAACATAGACCCCTACTATAACATACGAGCGGAAGATCGTAACAACAGAGGTGAGATGTCTTAGGAGAGCTGCCGGTGTGACAAGAAGAGATAAGATCAAAAATGAAGAAAGTAGAAGAAGACTAGGACTGAAAACAATCATCATCATCCTCATGTAGCTTGCCGACTGGCGTGGGCGATCATGCCTCTCCGCAATCTGCGATCTCCTGCAGCATGTATCAGTTCAGAAATAAATCCCCAATCGGCACAGTTTGTGATGACAGCGCTTGCCATGTGATCCTAAATCTCAAGGCTTAAAAATGTTTCCCTCCAGCCTACACCGCAAAAGTGATAAATAGAGGTAATAGTTTTTTTTTAATTCTCAGATAAAGATAAGAAGAAAGCTAAATGGCCTTACATGTCATGCAAGGTGCTTCTGGTCATTATTAATGATTGGCTGCAATACTCTTTTTAGTCATGGCAAGTTTTGGCCTCTGAAAATAACTGGCCGTCGCATTTTTCACCATATCTTGACTGAAATGACATAGTTTCGTCGCCCAGCTACTGAGCTGAGTGCATGGTGCGACACTGTGAGTTGCACATTCATTTGGAATGCTTTTCGACTGTGCCCAACATGGTTTGTGTTGTTAGTTGCAGATTCAGAAAATGGCGAGTGACTTGTAGCCACAAAACTGTGTGTGCCTTATGCTACTAATCATAAATGCAAGTATTGATCTCTTGTAACTGTTGCTTCCATCGATGTGTTCGACTGTGTTTTCACACTTCCGACTACTGTCTTATGAATTTATGGCGTGTGTATGCTATTGTATTTGCTGAGACCGCAGTCTGTGTCAATATTTCAATAAGGGACAATGATATACATCTGTGTGGTTTTGGCTGGCACAGGAGCGGAGCAACTATGGCGATGACCCACCTTGGCCATGAAGCAGGAACAGCCATTACCCCCATTATATCATGCAAGAGCCACGAACTGTCCTCGGCTCTACAAACTGACATTTGACAACCAAATATGCAGCAACTGTCGCGGAGTTATCTGACATTTGACAACCAAACATGCAGCAACTGTTGCGGAGTTATCTGACATTTCACAACCAAACATGCAGCAACTGTTGCGGAGTTATCTGACATTTGACAACCAAACATGCAGCAACTGTTGCGGAGTTATCTGACATTTGACAACCAAACATGCAGCAACTGTCGCGGAGTTATCTGACATTTGACAACCAAACATGCAGCAACTGTCGCGGAGTTATCTGACATTTGACAACCAAACATGCAGCAACTGTTGCGGAGTTATCTGACATTTGACAACCAAACATGCAGCAACTGTCGCGGAGTTATCTGACATTTGCTTAATGTTATAATAATATCTGTGATTGCCCACATCTTAAAATTACTGCCCCTGGGGGTGGTTCGGGGGTGAACTCTTGACATTCTTCGCTTCCGTAGTATAAATATTTTCAAAGTCAGAAATATAGAGGCTTTGAATTAATACGCTGTCCCTCTCTGTTCTTCGTCGTTCCATCATTCCCGCCATCGCCCTCTCTGTCTTTCTGTCTCTCACTGTCTTGCTCTTCCTGTCGTTTCTCTATCCTCCTCTCTCATTTCTCTCCCTTTCGCAGACTGTCTGTCTGTCTGTCTGTCTCTCTCTCGCTCTCTCTCCCTATTTTCCACCCCTCCTATTCCTCTCCCATCTTTCCCACTCTCTCTCTCCCCCTCCTCTGTGTGTATATGTATATGTGTGTGTGTTTAATTGCAAGAATGAATATAAATATTCAAATAAAAGCCAGTTAGGTAATGGCATCTTTACGGCAGTGGCACATAGAGGATTTAATTCTTCTTCTTTACGTCCTCTTTTACCGCTTCGGGTGT